GACATATTATCAATTGTCGTAGAGTCTGGTATACTTTTCATAATCTTTAAGTATTAATAAATCCTTAATGCATTTTCATCATCATATTTTTATAAAACTTGAATTTATTTATAATCTTGTATTTAATTTAGTTAAATTAGGTCGTGCACTCATAAGTAGATTATTTAATTTATATGAAAAATCACGAATTTTAATTGTTTCGGTTAATGTTAAGTTAATTCGAATTTGAAATAATACAATCTCTGTATGAACGATACTTAGATTCAAGAATCAATTTTACTACTTGTTAATGAATCGTACACTTACGGTATTTAAAACGAACAAATATTATAGGTAGCTAAATATTTTTAGTTCTAGGACTACGATGAAGCTTATATCATAAACCTTTAATTCGTGACTTTATTTCTTTTTGACGTTTAAATCACGTTTTTAATTATTGAATAATTGAGGTTTAAAGCACGTTTTTAAACAACTCACCGTACTTAAGTTTAGGAAGAGAGCCTCGAAGATGACACTCAATATGCCAATATCTGATGGATTATCATCATATTCGTTGGTTTCTTCTGGGTCCGTTGTAGAAGATGGCGTGAAATAACGGAAATTGAAAATATATAACAAATAGATTTGATTTTTAAAAGAAAGAAATGTAATCTAACGAAAATGCCATTGTTTTAATTGGTTAAAAACTCAAAATTTTCTTTTTTTAGATTAGGTGACGGTTGAACTAACGGATTCAATTAGTTAGCCCTTCTAGTGTGAATTTTTGAAAGGTTTGAGATTTTGGATGATACAAGATCAAGTAAAGTCAAACACAAAATAAAAGGTTTGGGAACGTGACTGCAATTCTATTTGTTATTTATTCAAAATTTGAGATATATTTTCTCTCCCCCAAAATTTTAATTTTACATCGATCTTCAATTTAATAGATTAACGGAAACCCTTTAATGATGTGATTGAAAGTCTCCAAAAGTTTCAAAGAATCTCCTCTACTTTTTGGTGCACGGTAAAGAAAAAATTAATACTTAGAATTCTAACAAAAATAATTCAACAAAAAGCAAAAGATTCATAGATTCGGTATTCTTGGAATGATATATATATATATATTTATTTATTTATTTATTTTTGGCTCTGACAAGGTGATCCACATACCTGTTATTATTATTTTTATCTTAAAGTATGTGTTGACCCCAAAAAATGAAACCAACAGATGTCAGGCCCACTCTTGCCACGTCAAGCAATGATCGACGCGTTTCTACCGGAATAAGAGCGGTAGCACGGTTGGAAAGAACGCGGGAGGTGCTTTCCGGCAAGAGACACATCTGTTCAAACTCCGGGAATTTTATTTAAACAGCCCTTGCGCTATCGACAAGGGCTAGATCGATTCTCCTAAAATGAATATTTGTTTTTGTCATGAAATATGTGGAAGGATAGATAAAAAGGGAAGAAATTTCTTGTAATATGTTGTCGTTTCGATATCGATTGTATTACTCTCCAAGGAAAATCTCGTCCAACTTAGTGCGTCCAGAAGTCCCCTTTTTCTGTACAAGGGAAGACTATTTATATTGTTCAAACGACGTGGTGATCGTTGGATCAGATCCACGCGGCAACAGTTCCTAAACTGAATTTTCACATCACATTCATTCATTACATTTAATATTTGATAGAAGTCAGCCGCACTAGAAGTAGGCCAACAACACCATAGAAAAGTTACTGACACTTTTACTACGGACGTCCCATCAATCAGTTCTAAGAAATCTTCAAATCTGTTGAGGCGACGTTGGCTTATGGGTTTTGAAGGACCTTGTGGTAACCTCGGATTGGATTGTGCCTCGAGGGAGTGCATCAGTCTAAGGTTCGTCACATGAGGACCTCCAACCCGAGGCTCCTTGGACTGAAGCCCATGCTATCTTTCAGAGGATCCTTCATATTATGTGCGTGACACATAACCTCGGCCTAGTGCCTTATTGGGATCTTTGACCTATTAGGCCTCCTTTTGACTTTTCATTGACTGTCCTGCCTACGTGGCCTTGCTCCTTTAGATCTCGGAATCGAGGGGTAACAGTATGCATTATCTCAATATTAAGAATTTAAAGTAAAAAAAGAAGACGATATTCAAATAATACTCTATTTGAATTTATTCATCTCTTAATAAAACAACGGCTTCCATGGAGTCCGTTTCCAACTCTTATCTTTCATGTCAAGAAAGGAGCCCTCTTTCTTCACATACAATAAATTCTAAATACAAAACATAAAATAAATAAAAAAGAATGACAGTCACATCTGAAATTCAGAATTATTATTTAAATTTGATTCGCACAATGATTGAGAAAAGAAAAAGAGAGAGCCAAAGTTGTGGAGTTTCCTTTGGGCAGAAGTCTAGACCTCCTTGTAGGAGACAATTGGATGTTACAGGTTCATCTTTATTAGTCTTTAGATCTCATGACATGAATTTTGACTAAGACTGAATCTTTCATTTCCCATAGGATTAAAAATTATATATATTTATTTTCTGGTCCTGTTATTTTCTCACCTTCTTTTCCTTTACTCCATTCTCTCTCAATGACATCACTTCTTTAACATCACCTGCCAAAGTAGATCCTGAAAACAACCACATCACTGCACCAAGATCAATCCCGAGCGGCAAGCTCGTCCAAATTATTTTTGGGCTCGATTGTCACTCGAGCTCATTCATAGACGATAAGTCGCTTGGCCCGATCGCCACTCCTATTTATACACGGTTGCATGAAAACGTCCAAAACGGCCATAACCTCATTTCAGACACGTTTTGGATAACGAAATAATTTGAAAACTCTAGGAAAAATTTTCGGGACTCAAAAAATAAAGTGTCCTTTTTGTTTTTAGTTAATTCAGAAATTTTAGAGAAAACTTTTGACCAAAAAATTAGTTAGAAATTGCACATCATAGTGGATTTTCTTATGATTTAACACTAAGAATTAACTTCAGTTTTGTCTTTGGCCATTATATTACAAATGTAACAAGTAATTTCATTTCAGACATTATTTCTTTTCTTTAAAACTTTAGAACCGTTTCAGAAATTCAAAAATAGAGCCATAACTAAAACCCTGTTAAGTGGGAATTAAGCCCCCATTTGGTTTGAATTAAAGTTAACAATTATTTTTAACCACACATTTAATTGAATTCAACCACACTTTCATCTTTTATCAAAATATACTAAAAATCTGATTTTAATATCTACCAAACAGGAGCTAAAATCAGTTTTTTAATAAATTTTGATAAAAGTTGATGAAATGTATAATTAAAAAGTAGTGAATTTCATGAAATATGTGATTAATATTAATTATTGATTTAGATTTAGATTAAAATATAGATTTTAATTTTGGTTGTAATCGTAGATAGTTCACATTTTGACAATTATCTATATAATTGAGACTCTTTTTCTAGATAGTGTCCAAATCGTAATTGCATTTCGTGCATAAACCTAATATCCATGGGATACTCTTAGAGAGCGGACAATCGTATGATTCAATGATGATTCCAGTTGTATTTCGTTGCTTTTGAGGAATGTTTTTTAACATGTTCAAACAGAGTTCATGAAATGTAGTGTAATTTTGAATGTTTCTATGAATGCATTGCATGCATGCAGATGTGCGTTGAGTCCATTGAAGGACACGTGGCACGTGCATAATGGTAATGATTGTCCTTTATGGCTTAGTGTGTAATTGTAGATAAAGTGAAATATTTGGGAAATTGATATAACCACTAACTGTGGGTCCCACAACCCATATAACATCATTTATGTGAAGCGCAGCTTGAACTCCAATGTGCATTACGTTTTCTATGTTGGAATTTACTGCATTCGTGGGATGTTTTTCATGATTGAGCAAATCCTGGGAGTTTAAATGATGCAAGAACCATTTGCATTGATTACCCATGTTATTCTTACATGCATCAATTTAGGAGTAATATTATTTAATATCGTTCACAGTCCTAATATTTTTCCATCAGTCGACGGAATAAAAGTTTCTTATCACTGACGTGGCAAATTAATCTTATTTATGGTTCTATCATATGATATGATCATAAATTTAGAGAACCATAAACTAAGATTCTTTTGTCACGTCAACAGTGAAAAATTTATCTTGTCTACTGAGAGTAATAGATCAATTCTAACACCGATTTATGTGACAGTATTCACGTCATTCAATTATAAGTTAAATTAAGTACAATAATTTGTAACTCATTTATTAGTACCTATAATGTGTCAATACCATTGATACTAGATGTCATTATTCATCTTTTTATACTAAGAAGTAATGTTATTTATTAGAGGGGTGATTAGCACAATATATATCATCATTGTTTTAACGAAAAATATTATTCTTAAGACTTAACACGGTTTGGTAAAGTCCAAATCTATTTTCCTCATTAAAATTGTCACCTTAGTACAATTTTGAAGTATATAAATTTAGATTCGACCTCAAAAATTGAGATTGAAGTTTAATGGGGCGTCATAATTATGTTGGGGGTACAGCCATTACAACAAAAATAACTTTTTACGGCATGAATGTCGTAAAAACAGACTATTTACAACATGTTTTAAATGTGTGCCGTAATAATTAATTATTGTAAACTATTTACGGAATACATTTTGGACAGGCCTTAAAATCTGAATACTTACAATTGCATCTCAAGATGCCATATACTCATAAAGAAAATATTTGTTGCCTTTTTATATATATATTTTTTAAAAAATGAACTATTAACGGCATTTTTTTACGGCGTGCATTTAAAAAGATGTATTTAAAAAATTCGCATTATATGCATATATTTGTACATTACCTTGGATAAGATAATATACATTTTAAGTTTTCACTTAAATAAGTTCAATATTATATTAAAATATTGCCATCAAATCTCACTACCATTTATAAAAATTATCCACGGAATTGAATTGTACGAAAGAGAGTTTTTATATTAAATTTTCTTTTCCATGATTCTATAATTTTTTTTTTCCACATTTAGGGTCGGGTTGAAGCCACGGAAACTACCTCTAGAGAAGTTAAGAAAGACAACATCAAAAGCTTATTCCAATGATGATATAGATCGCCTCTCTAGAGAATACTACACATTGTGAACATAATTTAACCCGTTTTGTGCATATTAAAATGAGAGAATGCATTTTTTTGAAGTGATGTGATGGGAAATATGTGGTTAAAAATGAAGGAAAAGTTATTGATGTGATGAAAAATATTATTTTATTGAAAAACGTGTGATTGAAAATGAGTAGAAGAATGAGAATGAAAAAAATAATGTGGGTCAAACATGGGCTTAAAGACTTTCATGATATGTTCATGGTGAGACTCACGAAACATACAAAAATAATAATATTGATAAAATTTAACCAAATTATTATATCCGAAATCAAGTGGATTTTTATTTTAAAAGAATAAATGGTTGTGTTAACATGGAAGAACTTAAAGATCAAAGCCAAATTACGTGGAAAAATTACATTTATTACTTCTTCCATCCCATAAACATATTTTTCTTTTTCTTTTTCGTTTCTTCCAAATTATAGGTTAATATAATTAATTTTTTAATATGTCATTATTTAATGTGTCTTATTATTAATAAATACAAGCTACTTCTATTTATATCATTATTTAATGTAGGATATATTAGAAAAAAATATAAGTAAAATTTATATTTTTAATTATTTTTTACTAATTTGTATGAAAATAAAGTAAGCATATCTCTATGGAACTCTAGAATAGAGTATTGTATTAAGCCTTGTTTTATAGAAATTTAAATTAAGATTTTAATTCATGTTAAAGTCAACGATTAATTTTAGTGATACATCTTACGGGATTCACGACTTTTCAACAACATATTTCA